AATCCTTAAATGAACAATTACGGTTTTGGAAACATTGGAAATTGAACTGTAACTGGTCTTTAGGTCGTTTTGTCATTTTAATCCTTGTAGACTAATATTCTTATTTTTGTATTTAGGTTGGAGAGGCAAATCTTGATAAAATCTTGATTTCCTTTTTGTTTATTGCAATTAATTGAATTTGCCAGATTCAAAGTTACGTGAATACGGACAAAGCTGTTTGGCCCGATTTCAAATATCTCCCGCCCTCCTCCAATGATATGCCAAACGCCTCGTGCCCTCGACGTCAATATAAATCGGTGGTTTTGTTCATCAAGAAGCTTAACGTATTCAACCTGCCATTTTTTTTCTTCTTAATTATCAGCCATAAATTTTAGTTAAATAAGCTTAGTTCTTGCAAGTTAACAGTCCAGACTGCACATATTCATTCCTCTGCCAAAAGAAAGAACAAGAAAGGCCTCGGGAGAATGTGGAGGCTTAAGATAGGAGAAGGTGGCAATGACCCATATTTATACAGTACCAATAATTACTTGGGAAGACAGACGTGGGAGTTCGATCCTAATGCTGGCACGCCTGACGAGCGAGCTGAGGTTGAACAAGCTCGTCAGAATTACTACAACAATAGGAAACACGTCCCGCCCAGTTCTGACCTCCTTTGGCAGATTCAGGTGTGATTTTTGAGCCAAACATGTTGCATTAATGTATATATATACTGCTTTCAATATCTTTCTACTTTCTAACTATATAATTAATTACGTAATATCTTATTTTATTACTTTATTATTTTCTTTTATATATAGTTTGATACAAAATAAGTTTTAAAAAGGAAAATTAGAATATAAATCTTAAATAGAAGTGATAAGTCTAAAGTTTTAAATTATTATTAAACAACATTAAAGCATGCAAAATTTTTTATTATTAATTATATTTCTTTCATCTGATAAATGCATGAAGTGTACTTACATATAGTTTGTTTCCAAGGTATAATATTATCATCCTTTTAACTTTTAATCATAATTCTATGTGGACTTATTAATTTTTAAAATAGACACTCTCTTTAAAAGTGTAAACACCGATAACAAAATATATAAAATGATTAAAATGCCTATTTTTCTTTTTCTCATTTTTTTTCTCTCAAACAATGTGACCGACTAGCGGCCAACCGATCACCTCACAGCAGGTGCTCCTCAAGGTTCTCCCCAAGGGAGGGAAGCACCAAATCCGGTGCTTCCTTGAATTTTGTTTTACAAAAAAAAAAGTTTATATAATATAATTTTTAAAATTAATAAAAAATAAAATTATTTTTTTTAATATTGTTACATCATCAAACAAACAGAAACAATAACAGTTAACTAATAGTTAAATCAATTTGTCTAGTAAAAAATATTTTTTCAAATAAAGTGTTAATTTAAAAAATTAATAGATTTACTTGAAATTTCGATTAAAAATTAAAAAAATTTAAAGATTTTACCCTTGTTTCTATGATTTTGGAAAGATATACACCAAGCTACGTGTGGTCTTTTTTAAGGCGGCAAAATAGTTGGGTAATCTTTCCCTAGCTAGCTCTAATTGTGCTCATGCGGCTAGCTTGCAACACTATTTCCTTTGAGGAAAATTTGTTTGGAAACCCTTCCTGTTTGAGGCAATTGAAAATTATTTATCAAAATTTTCTTGCTACAATCTATGCTGGAAACTAGTAATAATAACATCCATTTACTATTTGATTGTATTTTTAAGAGTTCCTGAAGTACTACTAAATTAAAATTTCTGTCACTTAGAATAAACGACTCACTAAGTACTAATTTTGAGTTCTATATAAAATATTGAATAATTCAAGTTTTGTAACCAAAAAGCCAAAAATATCCATTTGTTATAAATCTATTTTTTGTTTTGTTTTCTTTCTATTTAAGAAATTTGATTGTTTTCCATTTACTACCATACGTAGAGTGTTGGTGTTTAAATTTATGATTACGGCTTCTATTCATAAGGTATTACCCCCCCTCATCCTAAACTTAAGTAAAGTGTCAAATGAGAAGAAAGTAGTAAAGATTTGTAACATAAATGGGATATGTATGAGCAGAAAAAGGGTGAATTAGAATATAAAAAGATGAGAAGTTTTAGTGAGAAGGTGTGGATCACAAAATTAGTCAAAAGCACAAATTGAGGAAAAGGAAAAGGATGTACTCATAGTTACACGAGGCAAAAGGCAAGGAAAAAGAAAGAACAAAATAATTGCATAATAATGTCATGAAAGGTGACAAACTTGTCATGTCAATAAACATTTAATAAGAGAAATTAATGTGTTAGACTGCTAGAATAAATGCATATTGCCAAGTAATCACTAAATTAATTGAATGAGATGTGTATGAATGCAATGTGGTCGATAGACAGAAATAAAAACATCAGCACATGGACATGTTTGAACTCTCTAGAAAATATTAAGAATTTGGTATGAGAAAAATGGGAGTACATTTTTATTTCTCAACTGACACTAATTACGGCATATGATGAAATTTTCATATCATATATTGTTCAAGAATTTTTTCCATGTGTTGGAGTTGCCTTTTCTTTTTACTTTCATTTCTTTGATGAGTGCAGTCCTTAAAAGAGAAAAACTTCAAACAAACAATTCCCCCAGTAAAGGTTAAGGACGGTGAGGAAATAACATTTGAAACAGCTACAGCTGCATTGAGGAGAGGTGTTCATTTATTGTCAGCCCTGCAAGCAAGTGATGGCCACTGGCCTGCTGAGAATTCTGGTCCAATGTTCTTCTTTCCTCCTTTGGTGACTACTCAATTCACTCCTCTTTTTCTCTGCAGGTTTCATTTTTTTAAGGGTATGCCTGATTCGCAAAATAGAATAAAAAAGGAATAGGATAACTATTTCATAAGAATAGAATAAAAGAGAAATAATTATTATATAGTTTGGTTTATAGGAATGAAATAAGATACGAATTATTGGTATGATTTATTCCGATAATTGATTGGTGGGAATATTTTAAAGAATAATTAAAGAATACGTGATAAATGACGAAAATATCTTTTCATAAAATTACAGAGTTTATTTTATTAAAAGATAAAAATACTCTAATAATACGTAATAAAATCAAAATACCTTTTACAATATTAAATAATATTTTCACCACAATACAAACATATTTTTATTATAATTTAATAATATTTTGTATGAGAAGATAATTAAAGCTTTTATTATAATTAAATAATATTTAATACTAAAAGATAAAATATATCTTTTATTAAATTTAAATAAAAATAAATAATATTCTTTATTACATATATTATAGTCAAATAATAATATTAAATAATATTCGTTATAATATTTATTATAGCTAATAATAATATAAATATATTAAATGATATTTAAATATTTCTGTTTAAAAAAATGCAGTAAAAAATTCTTTGTAAAGGGGTATATTTGTAAAGTGGAGGAGAGCCGTAGTAACTGGGAGCTCCAAAAATGGAATTGCTGTAGACAGAGGAGTGAGGAATAGAGAAACAAAAAATGAGTTTAGTATTGTTTTATAACGTAAATTTTGAAATTGTAAAGGGATACTTTTATCTAATCAATTTTTTTTTCTTATTCGTAAAAACTTGGAATACCCATTATTAAGACGTTTTGGTAATAGTTGTACAAGTATTTCTTGAAATGATCATTCCATTGGATCAAATGTAATTTTATCTTAAAGGTAAGAATAGGAAGGGAATGGCTATTCCATTCTCCCCAACCAAGCATGCCATAAGAATTTTTGTAAGAAATTTGACAATATTTTAAGGGTACATATCTATTCATGATCACTTTAAGTTAATTTATGCAATGACCACGTTCTAAAATAAAACTGCAGGCCATGGCTTTGTACATTACAGGGCATCTTGACACTGTGTTCTCTGCGGAGCATCGCAAAGAAATCCTCCGATACATATACTGTCATCAGGTACATGACTGATTGGTTACATTAAAGGGAAAAAGCACTAGATTTTCGCGTCTTCTTCTCTAATTTATTTGTTTAGCTTTCATTCAACCCTCTTGCTTAAACTTAATCATCCATTTCAAGTTCATGAATGTATGTTATTTGTTGTAGAACGAAGACGGCGGTTGGGGATTACACATAGAGGGTCACAGCATCATGTTTAGCACTGCTCTCAACTACATTTGCATGCGTTTGCTTGGAGAAGGGCCTGATGGCGGCCAAGACAATGCTTGTAAGAGAGCACGACAATGGATTCTTGACCGTGGTGGCGTAACATCCATACCGTCTTGGGGAAAGACGTGGCTTGCGGTATATGGCATATTTACTTGTAATAAATACTTGGCTTCTAGAACACCAGAAATATTAACTAAAATTTGTTTCAAATTATTATTCTTTGTTGAAGATATTTGGTCTCTTTGACTGGTCTGGCTGCCATCCCATGCCCCCAGAGTTTTGGGTCCTTCCTTCCTATTTTCCCATTCATCCAGGTTCGAAAAATGTTCCGTTGTTAGTGATCAAATATGCGTCCTCATCATTAGAAAGAGTTGCTTTCATCTTCCTCCTAGAAATTATCTGCGTACAGATTATAATTAAGATTGTATTCGTTATTTCTTTGCATTCTGCACAACCAGCTTTAAATAAGTATATTATTGATTCCACACCTTGATATTAAAATTTGATTGCCTTATTTTTTTGATTAATACAGCAAAAATGTGGTGTTACTGTCGTGTTACTTACTTGCCTATGTCGTATTTATATGGGAAAAAATTTGTTGCTCCGACCACACCTCTCATACTACAGTTGAGAGAAGAACTCCACATTGAGCCATATCATAAAATTAATTGGAGGCAAAAGCGCCATTTATGTGCAAAGGTGTGTATACGAGACTTGCTTTATACCTAAGAACTTTTATGCACATCATACAGTCACATTATTTTCTCAAGAAATCCTCACATTTGGGATAATTATACATGGGAAATTTTTATTGCAGGAGGATCTTCACTATCCCCATACTGTGTTACAAACGTTACTATGGGACAGTCTTTACATATTTACAGAGCCTCTCCTTTCTCGATGGCCCCTTAACAAGTTGAGAGAAAAGTCTCTTCAGAAAACAATGGACCACATTCACTATGAAGACGAATGCAGTCGGTACATTACCATTGGATGCGTGGAGAAGGTAATGGGATTTTCTAGTACTATATATGAAACTGACCAACTGAGTATGGAAATTTGGATAATTTTTAAGTGTTGATCCATATGCTACTTGGATCATATAAGCAGCCCTTATGCATGCTTGCTTGTTGGCTGGAAAATCCCACCGGAGATTATTTTAAAAAGCACCTTGCTAGGATTGCTGACTACTTGTGGGTCGCAGAAGATGGACTGAAAATGCAGGTTAGCGAAAATTTTCTCTAGCTGAAACTTGCAAAATAATCAGCCATGACTTGATTGTGATTCCGTAAAACTTTATGCATTTTAACGCAACTTTATGCCTATGCTTGGGCTTAGTAGAATGTTGTACCATAAACCATAAATTTTTTATGTGCCTTTCCAGTGGTTATGGTTCTAGAATTTACAATTTGGTATGTACATGCAGAGTTTTGGAAGTCAAGTTTGGGATTCTAGTTTCGCTCTTCAAGCTTTGCTTGCTAGCGACCTTACTAACGACATCAGGCCTACACTCATGAAAGGACACGACTTCATAAAGCATTCCCAGGTTCCAACGCATAATGGTGTTTATGATTTTTTTTTTTTTCCTTCTTGATTTTGTTTGGATTTACCTTTTTAACACCCCTGAAAATTTGAAGGTCAAGGATAATCCTCCCGGTGACTTTAAACGAATGTTCAGACACATTTCTAAAGGATCATGGACCTTTTCTGATCAAGATCATGGATGGCAAGTTTCTGATTGCACTGCAGAAAGTTTGAAGGTAAATTGCTTTTGTCCAAGCCATCCCAGCTATAATGGTTAAAATTTGAACTCTAACTTCGTCTAGGGATTGCATTTTTCAAAAGAACCTAGCTAGTGGGGTTTATTGGATAAGAAAAGGTTATCTTCAATCGCACTAAATCTCTATAATGTACCAAAAATAAAATGTTCAATCACAACACTCCTGACAAGATCCTATTTATTGTTTTACAGTGCTGCCTTTATTTCTCAAAGATGCCACCGGAAACTGTTGGTGAGAAAATGGAACCAGAGAAATTCTATGATGCTGTCAATGTTATATTATCATTACAGGTAAATTAATTGTGGCCCTTGGATTAAGCTTTACTTGGAACCTGTAGACATGGATGTAATAATTAAGAGATGCAGCTAGTGCGTGGATTAGTTTAGAAACATATTCACATCCTTAAAAATGCATTAACTATATACAAAATTCAGGAATTTCAGAGATGTGTTTACGACAAGCTTTATAATTCCCAATAGTAACTTGTGATGGAAAATGTATCCTATTCCAGATTAATTTCCAAATGCCTTGACTTGGTTTACTATAATTTGATTGCAATCAGTATAAAATTGTTGCAGAGTAAGAATGGGGGCCTCTCAGGATGGGAGCCAGCAACAGCTGGATTATGGATGGAGGTAAGAACTCCAACATAAATTGAACTAGCCTCTGACCTGAGTCTTCTATTTGCAACTTATCAAAAACTTTTGAACTTGTCTTCCATTCTAATAGATTTCTTAGACCAGTACTAATGATTTTAATGTTATGCTCTCAGTGGCTCAATCCTGTGGAGTTTCTCGAGGATATTGTCATTGAGCATGAGTAAGGGCCTTATATTTACCTTCTCCCCTTTGTAATTCTTTATAGAGAAATGCTATTCGGTCACTCATGAACAAATGAGGCCGAATTCGATTCAATTGACGAAAATTACTCCCCCGTCATTGTGTCAGTCGGCTCAATTTTCAGTCTCCTACCTTTCCGACTGTATAGCACAGCCCCTGGTTTATATAGCAATGCCCTAGTAGACTAATAAGTAGATTATGGATTATCCAGGTATGTGGAGTGCACAGCATCAGCTATGCAGGCACTAGTTGTTTTCAAGGAGTCCTATCCTGGACACAGAAGAAAAGAGATTGAGAAATGCATTGCCAAAGCTGTCCAGTTTCTTGAAAACGTACAAAAGCCTGACGGTTCATGGTATTGTTTTCGCTGATAACATTATCTGAGTTAAATTAGCAGCATGATGAATATTTTAAATTAGCAGCATGATGAATATCAACTGCAATTGATACGTATTACCATAGGTATGGTGGTTGGGGGATTTGCTTCATGTATGGGACATGGTTTGCACTAGGAGGTTTAGCTGCTGCTGGCAAGAACTACAACAACTGTCTGGCCGTGCGTAGAGGAGTCAATTTTCTACTTGAAACACAAACAGATGATGGTGGTTGGGGAGAGAGCTATCTTTCCTGTCCAAACAAGGTAATCCTTGTTGCCTATCCAATCATATGTTTCTCCAACCCCAACCATTCACCTCATTGTTTCCCAACTTGTTTCTTTTTTACTTGTGAAAACATTTTGAACTAGGGTTACACGTACCCTACAAGATTGGAATCTACTACCTACAAATTACAATTCAAGTTCAAATTCTTCTGCCTGCAGGTATATACACCTCTTGAAGGAAATAGATCAAATTTGGTGCACACTGCAATGGCCTTAATGGGTTTAATTCATGGTGGACAGGTTACTTTTGTCATTTGATTAACAACTACTTGCTAATATCTTCTTAATTAAATTACTCTTGATAAGTATATGATTCTCACCATTTATAATAGGCAACACGAGATCCCAATCCCCTACATCGTGCTGCAAAGCTTTTGATCAATTCTCAACTACCAGATGGTGGTTTTCCCCAACAGGTAACTGAAAGGACTCTGTTTAAACTTTGAATGCACTAGTGTCAAAACACTTCATCTAAGCATGAGAAACATAGCAACTTGTAAAGGAATTAGACACCTACATGATAAGTTTGTTGTCTTTTAATTAAACCTTTAAATTTCAAATCATACCATCTTTTCAAGATTTCAAGATAAGCTTCTTTAGAGACTTGATTCACTGATGAGCCTTCTATCAGAAGAAGTTGAAGCTAAAGCACACCCAGAAAAAGGAACAGAAAGAACTCCCAAAATAAACACTGGGGCAAACACCAACAAAAAAGGGGAGGGAACATGAAATCCATGAAATGTGCTAGTTACAAATGTTTACTTGCTAATGTTTGATACTCTTTTGCGGCAGGAAATGAAGGGAGTTTTCATGAGGAATTGCATGCAACACTATGCATCCTACAGGAACACTTTCCCGACTTGGGCTCTAGCTGAATATCGAAAGCATGTTCCATTGCCTTCGAAATGCATTTGAATGAAGCAGATGATATCCAGGCAAAGACTATTATAAATAAAGTGGCTGAAACTTACTATTTAAATGTCCATGTATCTATATATATTTATATGTGTGTGTGTGTGTGTTTATGGAGAGACAGAGAGAGAGGAATCCACAACATCCTTTCACATCTTTTCATATAATTTATATTTGGTTAATCCAATCATTAGATTTTGTGCTTTATTCACATAAGTTATGTACGTTAAGTTTGAAGTTAATTAAAGATGTCTAAGTAATTATTCAATACAATAAATTAAAACATAAAGTCTGAAATGAAATCAATTTACTATAACTTCTAAATCATAGAGAGCTATCTGCACACAATGTATCAAACAATTCTGTCTGATTGTAAGACAATCATAACTACTGCAAATATAGAAAAGACTAGTTCATATGTGATACAATTGTAGTCATCACATAGCTTCGACAATGCTATTGCGCATATCAATAGTTAAATTTTACAAAGAAAAAACTCAAATTAAATGGAGATGATCTTTCCACTTCTGTTGAAAAGCTAGCCTTTACAAACTAAACATCCATGGCGCAAGAAAAAATTCCTTTGATTTACAGTAGGAACAGAACCACAAGGCAGTGTAATTTTCCTCAGAGATGGCCTTGAAAACACCATCCAAGCTACAATATGTACACTCACATTATTACACCACCTCAAATTCACCTCTTTTAATGCTTTGCAGTTTAGAACCACACCTTCAACTCCTCTTGCAGTCACATTAAAGCAACCTTCCAAATTCAGATGAGATAGCCTACAACATCTCTTCCCAATCAAAGTCAATGCCTCATCATTAATTCCCAAACCCTCTGCCTGCAAAACCTCTAGTCTAGGAAGTTCAAAGTCTATTTCAAGATTTTTAATCCCTTCACATCTATTAATCTCCAAACACCTAATATGCAAACAACTCTTTAAAATTCCCAATATGCCTTTTTCAGTAATACATGAGCAATAGGTGACATCAAGAACTTCCAAATTGGGGCAAACATAGGCAGCCTTTTTTATGCATTCATCATTCAAACTGTTATTCCAAGCCAAATATAGTGACTTAACGCGAGGATTTACCACTATTTCAGTTGGAAATTCTTCCACTCCGAGATTGGTTCTCTCCATATTGATAACGCTTAACAAAGGACAGTTTTTTGTAAGATTGAAGAAAGTTGAACTCGTTAAGTTCGAGCATAAACTAAGGTTTGTAAAGGTTAAATTACCAAGAAACTTGGTCAATTCCATCATGGACTCATCATTGAGAAAATTTGCTCGTTCAAGATCTAAGTATGTAAGAGACTGGTATTTAGACAAGAGAAAATAAATCCCATCAAATGTATAACAAAAGCAACGAGAGAGAACAAGTTTGGTCAGTGGAAGGCATGCTTCAGCAACTAAACACAACAATTCATCAGATATAAACGAATTTGAGAGTTCAAGCTCGCGTAAACCTCTCGCATATGCAAACGAATCCTTAAAACATAAATCTATTGAAGGAATTCCAATTCCATTCATCAAAATCGACTTCAAATTACCACTTTTACGCATAGCCAAAGCAATTCCATTCTGGGTAATGAAATCGCAATCACGGATCCCAATTTCAGTCAAAAACAAACAATTCGACGATAAACTAACAAGAGCTTGATCGGTTATAAACGGATTACCCGAAAGATCAATCTTCCGCAATCTCCTGAGCCTCGAGGCCAAGCCAAGGATCCCATAAGCAGTAACCAAACCCGGAAAACTCCTTGCATCCAAAGATCCATTAGGGGAAAACCCACATCCATGGTCAGGGTAGCTAATATCAACTGCTTCAAGAAAAGGGAAACAATTCCCGATCTCAATCAAATCAGAGTCTTTCAAGGACACAATTTTTGAGCAATTCAGTTCTTTCAAATTCCTCAATTTGGAACCCAGCTGTTTCAAACCCAATAAAGGAAAACTCGATTGGTTTGAAACGTCGAGGGATATTAAGGGCAACCCAGATTGTGAAATCTGGGAAAGAGCAGAATCGAGACTGCCGTGAAAGTCACGGAAAATGATTGTGCGGAGATTTGGGAAACGGCGGAGAAGACGAGGGAGGGATTCCAAGGTTGGGTCAGTGATTGTGAGCGTGTGACGGAGATGATTGGTGATGGAGAGAAACATGTTGCAGACCAAAGACAGAGGCTCGAAAGAGCGATGGTGTTGTAATAAACTGAAAATTGATTCCCAGCATTCTTGCGGTAGCTCCATTGTCAGTTTCTTTCAGAGGGAGAGAAGAGAATGGAGGAGGCCAGAGAAAGAGAAAAGAAAAGAGCGAATTTAAGCTTGGGAAGTAGCTGGATAACGGGCAAGACCAGCAAAAAGCATACGTAATGCAAGGATTCTTTTCAAAATGCAGCTGATGGCTCCGATGTGAAACCTTTTTCTAGATAACTTTATTCCATAATTTCTTTTTCCTCCATGGCCAATTAAATTTTAAATACAATAAAATAGAAAAATTTTGATTTCTTTTATTTTTGATGCAAAATAATTTAATTGGGATTTACCTAATTCAATTTTAATTGTTCCAACAATCAAAAATAATATAATTGAAGACACATCTAGCTATTCGAATTTACAATTTCATTTTCAAAGATTTAGAATTCCAATCGATTATAAACAAAATTGAATTTGTAAATTAGGAAAAATTATTTCATTATCGTATCACTAAATTTTTCATATACCTAAAAGAAAAAACTTAATACCATTTTAGACATAATATAAGTTCAATGAAAGTAATTGATGCCTTCCCTTGGCACATAAACTAGGAATTTCAATTTCCTTAACATCTAAGTCTCCCATCCTAAGGAATCTGTTTGTGTTTATCTAGATTAACTTTGCATACTGTTCAACTTTTCCCCCTTTGTACCTCTACCACTATACCAAATAGACTTGAAAGGAAACAATTATTTTGGGGATTTTGATTTCTAGTATTATAGTTCAGTGAATAACAATCAAGTTTTTTCTTTTTAATCAAGTTATTCAAGTTCGGGTCAATTTTTCGTTAATTTTAATAATCTACTAGCATTAATTATCGCCTTAAAATTAACACGGGATCATTCAAGTAATTTTTTATTTTAATTATTGTGTTTTTCAATTGGTGTTTGGCTTGTTAGTTTTGACCTGTTAATATACATTAGTATATTAGTAATGCAATAAATATAAAGAACAGATTAGTAGTATTTTTGCCAAAATGAAAGTAGAAAAATGAAAATAAAACAAATAAAATTAGTTATCAGTACACCTTTGTCGCTTGAGTTTAAAAAACCGTTTTCTTTTTTTTTTAAATTAAAAAAGGGGAAGGCTGAATCATGTCAATCAACAATGTTTTCTCCCTAGAAAAATACTTCCCTTAGAAAATAGTTCCGTTATTTTCTTTTTTTTTATTTTTTCAATTTTACAAGTTTGGTTTTCTGAAACCAAGAAAATCATAATTTCTCTTGCACTATAAAAAAATTTTATTTCTTTCAACGAAAATTTTTGAAAGTAACAGTCAAAACCCATTGAAAATAAATTTTTGCTAAGAATTTTTGAGAAAAATTTTCGTTGGAAAATATGTCACTGAAAACGTAATTGTTAATGCCAATGAATGAAATTTCGTTAGTAAAGCTTTGGATTTTTTAAAAGAACATTTTATCAAGAAAGGTTTTAAAATGTCAAAAAATTGGATTAAATCATCGATAATTATAGCATTATATCCATCGCAAAAGTCTAAATTTATGGACGAAATTCTCAAGTCTCAAGCTCTGAAGAATTGAAGAAATTTCAAAAATATTAATATTATGTTTTAAGATTTTTTTCAAGACATTGCTCTTTGATCTTATCCCAACCTAAGGAAAAAGATTAATTCCATTTGTTCAAGATAAAGTCATCAATACCCTTGAAGCGGATTTGTTAAAAAATGCAAAATATCTAGAAAAAGTCCCTAAATTATTTTTCAAAAATTCAAATAAACTTTTATTCTTTTATTGAGTTTAATTAAACCTTTATACTATTATTTTAAGTCAAATAAGCTTTTACATATTTATTTTAAGCTACATAAGCTCTTGTGACTAATAGTTGATTTAGTTAAAAAATCATTCGTCATTTTATACCATGTGGAGCTAATGTAGTATGTTGATATGTTATAATAGATGATGACGTGAAATGATGATATGGCATTATGACATTGCCATACATGTGGTATTTTTTACCCTCCATGTCAATACCACGTCAATAGTACATGAGAATAAAATGATAAATAATATTTTGACTAATGCCAATTATTCAAATAAGTCATTATTCGTTGATTACACTCAATCAAATTTTTATATTTTTATTTTGATCCAAAGAAATCCTTATAACTAATGGTTGATTAACTATTGTTAGTCCAAATATCATTTATTATTCTATGTCATGAGGTGCTAACATGGATGTTGATAAGTCATAATGGATGATGATATAACATACTAATGTGATATCATGACATGACCATATGACATTTTCAACCTCTGCCTTAGTGTCATATCAATGTTACCTGGATATAATAACAAGTGATATTTTAACTAATAACAATTAGTCAACCATTAGTTATAAGAGTATATCTGATTCAAAATAAAAATATAAGGATTTGATTAAATGCAATAGAAGAATAATTATTTATTTGAATTTTTTTGATAGATCATTAATTTTTTTAAATATTATATTTTTTAACTATTTCATTTCTTCGCCATTCATTAATTCTTTAAATAGGTTTTTAGTCCTTTTCTTCATATATATTCTATCAATGTGAAGTGAAGATCTTGATTGCAGATTTACGAAGGGTAGTAGAGTTAAAGATGGTGTCAGTTAAATTTCAACCTAGACAAGTATACGTATCAAAAATATAGTATAATGATAAGCAAAGTATCGATCCCACAGAGAATTGATCTAAAATTTTCTAAGTATTAAAATTAAAACAATATAATCTTATCCAAACAATCAAAGTTAATTAATTAACTAAAACTAAGTAACCAAAATGTAAACTAAAAGAAAGATCAAAGTACTACTAACTTGGGTAAAAATCATATCAAATAAGCTTAGGATTATAATATCCCTTACACTTTATCTAAATCTTACCTCTCTTCCTTAACTTATTTTAATGGGTTGAATTGCTAAATTAGAGTCCTCAATTATTTATAAAGGTCTCCCGACATATCTTATAAAATATCTATTTTAACTAAAACATTATATCCCTATATGCATTGAAATTAACATAGATTTATTAAATTCAAGCTCTAATTCTGGCTATATATGGCATATAAGTATATCTTTATCCTATACACAAATTAATTAATATGATCGTATGCTCTCTTAATTTAAGTCTACACTAAACTCCTTTTCCCAAGTTTGTTTAAGTTCTTAAATCAATTTAATTGGTGATTAGTCAATTGAAAGTATTAAGAACAAATTGGAATAAATAATTCAATTCTATTGAAAATAAGCAAGAAAGAGATTAAAAATTCAGATTACATGTGAGTTCAATTGCAATCCTAGAAAAATAAAATTAGCTACTCATAATTGCAAAGATAAATAAAAATATGTGAAACTTAACCATTAAGAGTAACAAGAAAAACAAAAGCTAAGGAAGAAAACAAAACAAATTATTGCAACCTTGCTCGCAAAGTTTTAGCTTTAACTTCTAGCTTGTTGAATCTATTGAGGTTATCTCCCTTTAATTTCTTTTAAAAATATCCTATTTATACTAATAATCTTAACCTAAAAGTCCCTAAGTTAACTTATTGACTCAAACATCAAATATCATCTTTAAAATTTCCATTCTTGCAATAGTACACCTTGTCATCTTTTATGAAAATTATAGCTCTGTCTCTCAACTTTCTAATGGTTTAAGAATCGCATCATTTGGAGTTCTGTAACAAGAGTTATGAGCAAAACAATAAAGCATATGCAAGTAGAATTTTAAGTCCTTCAAACACTTTACTTTCCAAAATTAAGCCTTATTTCCTTAAATCCTACAACACATAAAAACTAATAAATAATAACTAAATTAAGATAAATAAACATAAAATTAAAATAATTTAATAAAAATAAACTAAATAAAAAATAACTAAAAATAATTAAATTCTAACCTAAACTTAAGAACTTAACTAGCTTTTAAGAATAATTTGAGATAAAAACAATTTTATTTAATAGAATTATTAGATGGTTGAAGAGTCTAGTCAATAAGAGAAGCATGTGTAGTCCACATAAATACTTAAAAGAAAAGAGATAAAGAAGTGTTTATATATGGAGTGTTAATTATTTTTATTGTATTTACTTGTTGTAATTAGTTGGTTAGTTAATTACTAAACCAACTTTACTTTATGCTTTTTCCCTCTCTTTTTAACAAACTTCTTTTTCACTTGTTAGCTATATATATCCTATAGCTCTGTATTTTTCTTTAATTCAACATAATGGAAAATATTGTTTTCACAAATCTTCTTTAGCTTCCGTGACTTCTCACATGGTATCAAAACCATGGTTCGAGATAGGGAGTCTTGATTGCAAATTCATATGAGGTTTTGTAATTATCCTTTGATTCTTCTTTTGTCTAATGTTTGATTTTATGTTGCTTTATTAGTAAATCTTGCATTTGGCTTCATAAATCTAAAAAATTGTGAAGTATATTGCGGTTGTTTGTTTAAAGTTTCTTTAAATGTTTTTGGATTTATGATTTATGAATATTGATAAACTGTTTGGCATTGAATTGTTACTAGTTTAATCATTGTTGAGGAATCACATAAAATGATGAATAGTTCAACAAACCTTAAGACTGAAAATTCACAATTAAAGGATCCACAATTCCTTTATTATATACACTATATAGATAATCATGGTTCGATTGAAGTGAATCCTAAACTTACTAGCAATTACATAGCCTGAAGTAGATCATTTCTATTAGCCTTGTCTTTTAGGAATAAGGTTGGCTTTCTTAATGGGCAATAACTAAAGCAAATGTTTTAGATTCTCTGTTTAGTTCCTAGATCAAATGTAATAATTTGATAGTAGCTTTGCCTTTAGACTCCATATCACCTCTAATAGTATCAATTATGTTTTACATGGATAGTGCCTCGGAAATTTAGAATACTTTGAAACAAAACTTTGCATAGCCTAATAACACTCAAGTGTGCAATTTATAATATACCTTAGGCAACCTGGTTTTGAATGGGTTTTATATTGAATGGATAAATTGATTTCTGTTCTTGCATTTGATACTTCTGCATCTGTTCTTTTATTAGATTGTTAAGCATTTTCTCAAAGATATTATGGTTTATCTCAGGTCAGTTCTCTGTTCCTGGAAAGAAATGTTTATGCTCTCTTATTGTATGTGACCTCTCAAGTTCTTTCTGTAGTTGGACTTCTGCAAGATGAAGTTGATCCGATGGTATCGGTGATGAAGGTTGAAAAGGCTCCATTGGAATCTTATGCCGATATAAGAGGATTGGATGCCCAGATACAGGAGATTAAAGAGGCAGTTGAGCTGCCTCTTACTCATACCACACTGTGAATGTGGTAAATGTAACTTCACTTACTTTAGTAAATACTTGAATCAATACTAAAAAGCAAATAGGAAGTTCATTAGTAAGGCAGACGAGTTTCCAAACTCACACATAGCGATAGGAAGTTCATTAATGAGTTGGAAATTTAAAAAGCAAATAGTGGTTGCTTGAAGTTCAACAAAGGCAGAATATCGATCAATGGCTTATGCCTGTTGTGAAGTCTTGTAGTTGAAATATTTGTTATCAAATTTTGGAATTAAACATGGAGCAGTAGTCAAGCTGTATTGTGATAACTAGTCTACTATATACACTTGTTGTAATCCAACCTTCCATGAACGGACAAAACATATAGAGATGGATTGTCACTTTATTCATAAGTGAAAGCTTGTAGACATAATCAATCCTGTGTATGTTTCAACAGAATGAAAAGTTGGATTTGCTTATAAAAGTATTTCAACCAAAGCAATATCATAAACTGCTAAGCAAGATAAATATTCATGACATTCATGCTATGCCATGAACATTCTTCTTAAGAGGGGGTATCAATGTGAAGTGAAGATCCTGGTTGCAGACTTAACTAAAGAGTAGGAAAGTTAAAAGATGGTTGAAGAGTCAAGACAATAATGGAAGCACATGCATTCCACATAAGTACTTAAAAGGAAAGATAAAAAAACACGTATTTATACTTAGAGTTTACTTGGCTTAACTTTTTTTGAACTTAAAAGCTATTATAAAGCTCTTATAAAAAATAAGAGCTTCTAAAATTAAATTAAAGTTATTTAGTAAAATAAATTATATAAGCTATAATTTTGATTAAAATTACCATAAAGGATATCCATGACATCTTCAATCGCTTAATAAACCAAAGTAGAGCAAACCTATTTCGAGTTTATATACTATTTCAGATGTTAAAATCCAAAAAACCAATAAAGAAACGTAATAACTCTCAAACTTGTATAATAGTAATAGTATTAGATTTTTTTCGTTGAAAAAGAAAGGAAACCTGTAACTGGTACTTGAATGCAACTTTGAATTTTGGATTTTCTTTTCTCTTAATCTTTGTAAGAACAGAAAAATACTAAATTTTGTTACTTTATTGTTGGATCTTCTATTTTTTCTTTTTTTAGTAGTCATTGTAGAAAGAGGTAAAAGAGAAAGATCGTAATTTTGTATTGGAGAAGGGTGATTTGCAAAAGAGAGAGAAGAAAAGGAGATTGATTAAGAGAAAGAGGTATTTCTTAAAAAACTAACGTGTTTTTAAAAAAGAAGACGAGAAAGCTCCTTTTTAGAGCTTTTCTTTAAACTATTTGTTTTTTAAAAATTTTGTTCTTTAAAAATAAGTTCTTTTGTTAAGAGTTTCTTAAAAATCCTGTTTGGTCTAGTTTTTACTTTTAAGAAGTAGATAAACTAAAAAAAGTTAGGTCAAATAGGCACTTATAGTGTTAATTATTTTTACCTGTTGTAATTAGTTGGTTAGTTAGTTAGGCAGCATTTGGTAACTTAATCAATTTTATTTTTATTTTCTAAGTAAAAACAGAAATATTGTCTTTTTTTCTTTTAAAAAAATAGAAATACAACACATTTGGTATTACTCCCATTACAAAAAATTTTTGAAAATAAAAACATGAAAATATTCAAAAAATTTCCAATTTCGTATTTGTCTTAATTAATGCTTCGACATGATGGGAAAGCGTAAACATAGCTATCATAACTCACAGAGAAAATAACATAAAATTATTTTATTTAGGCATTCAAAGTCTCCAGAAATAATAAATTAAATTCGAAAGATAAAATAAAGTCAAAAACAAAAAGAGAGGAAAAGAAAAGAAAAAGAAACGCCTTAAATGGATTAAATCTGAAGAAACTTGTCTGAGGTGGAAAAACAAACGAATTAAACATATAAATAAAAAAAAATATTTAGGGTGTAGTCATTGGAAGAGAGAGAGAGAAACAAAGAAAAAAAAAAGGAAGAAAGGGGTGATCTGGTATTAATCCAATTGGTAATGAGGTGATTCAATATTGTTTTTATTTTTTTGAAAAAGAAAAACAAAAAGTGTAAAATACTTTTTTGTGTTTGCATATTTTCTACCAATTTCAAAAACATTTTAAAAAAAATAAAAACAGAATTACCAATCACCTTCTTTGTTAGTGATTCTGTAGTTCTGTAAACAAAAATAAAATTACCAAACGAGACCTTAGTAAACCAACATTTTTTTGCTTTTCCCTCCCATTTTAACTGACTTCTTCCTTACTTGTTTGCCGTATAAATATTTACTTTTTAGCTCTGCATTTTTCTTTAATTCAACATAATGAAAAATAATATTTACACAAATCTTCTTCAGCTTTCGCGACTTCTCACATATTCAAGTCTATCTGATATTCTTCGCCATGCTTGTCTAGCTATTACTATATTCATTAAACAGGAAAGAGAGAAAATGATACAATGCAAACTTATCAATAAGAAAAACCATCACGAATTTCTCATTATTTTGGAAATATAAGGGCTGTATAAGTTAAGAGACTAGAATTTAACTCTTAAAAGGAGGCGAATCAGATGGTGGAAGCTGGAATGGTGGCAAGAAAGGCTGTGGAGGTGACATCGGCTGCACTGGCTCGACGAATCCGGTATCTGGCGCTGGTGGAGTGGAAGAAAGTGGAAGCGGCTGCTGATCAGGAATCTCGGGGATCGAAGGAATTACTGGAGGTGGCAGCAAAAGATTTGGTGCACCAGGGTTTGTTTCAATAGGTGGTGTAAACGTAAAGGGTTGTTCTGGTGGTAGTAATGGAATTTGTGGAGGCTCGGTTGGTGAAGAAAATATTGGGACGAGAGGTGCCGGTACAGTCTCATCAGGCGGAAAATCTTGTGCTGGTGGTGGAAAAGTTATGGGCAAAAATGGTGGTGCTGGTTGAAACTCATCGGGTGGCAAGTTTGGCTCCCATGGTGGAGCAAATATGGGCAGAAGTGGCGAAGCTGGTGTGAATTCATCTGGCGGAGAAAAAAATGGGACTAGAGGTGGTGCTGGAGTAAACTCATCTGGGGGAGTATCATCTTCCGGTGGCGGAAGAAAAAAGTCACGGTGCGTGCGTGAGAAAAGTGGAATGGGTGGGGTGTCTCGCTTATATCTGGAGGAGATAGCCATGGAAAGATTGGGGATGGAGTGATTTCAGGTGGAGGTGGTGAAGAGACTAGTGGTGGCGGTGGGAATACAAATGGTAAAGTTGGAGGTGAGATTGATGGTGGTGGTGGTGAAGGCACTAATGGTTGAGAGTGGTGACGGAAATGGTGGCGGTGGTGATGGGTGGGGGTGATGGAGGAGGGGCGATGGTGGTGGCGAAGGTGATGGAAGCAAGGGTGGAGGGGAAGTGATGAGTGGTGGTGGTGATGGGAGTAATGGAGGAGGGGAAGGTAGTAAAGGGGTTGTACTACCGGTGGGGCAACGGTGGCGATCTCCAACGAGGGAGGGCCTTGGTGTGGGCTCAAATGGATTATCTGGAGAGGGAGAAGTTGGGAAAGGCCATTGACCACAGGTTCCAAACAGGTACAGGAAAAATGGATCACAGTTTGAAGATCTTCTCGCTCTCTCCCGCCACTGCCCCTACTTCTGCTGCTTCTTCTTCCTGTTCTTAGTTCTTCTTTTGGTCCTCTATGATGGGAATGTGACCGGGCTTCTGTGACAATTTGGCTGATCAAAAGCAAAGCTAACATTACCAAAACGACTCTGCTTGCGTTCATTTCTGCTTTCTCTCTTACTTTTGCTTATCTCCCTATATCGTATATCATCTATGAAAGTCAGGTGCCTTTTGTCCTAGTGTTTATTAGAAGCACGGTCTATTTGACTCTCGTGCACTAAAAAAAAAAGGAAAATGCCTTGAACTTCACAACCTGGTCAGTATTAAATTAGTTATCCACAGACTTCATTGATTCTCTAATTCATGTTCCACGCTATCATGACTGCCTTTCTGCTCATTTTATCTTGGTGAAAAATAGCGTAGTGTATAGCATGTTGGACCCGTTCTTTCAAGTGCAGAAACAATGAAAAAGTTGGGTTCCCATCAAGTAAAAAGGAAGATATAAATACATAGATGGCAGTAGTACTGCAACTTGGTAACTGAGGTTAACCGCCATGTGCCATGAACCTGCGCACGGGGCATTAATTTTGGAGTAAATACGTACAGAGGGTTAAGATTCAAGCGAGGCCAGCTAACCCTCTGCGAATTTACTCCAAAATTAGCACGTACGAGTTTCGAATGATTTGGATTCTCTCTTTCCCGAACACGTACATGCTTACATGCAGAATAACACACACGGTAAGTAATTGGGATAAAAAAAAAATTATGAAGAATAATTTTTTTTGATAAAAATATTTATCAAAATAAATTTAATTATTTTTAATCATATTTAGTTATGACTTGATAAAAATATTTTTAATATTATTTTAAATAAATTAAATTATTTATTATAATTTTTTTTATTTATGCTTCTGATTTCTCTCTCATACTTTCAGATTTCTCTTTCCTATTGTAAAGACAAATTCTCATCAAAATTTCTTGACTTGAAAATTACGAAACAAATACAAATATTTGATGACGTGAGTGATAATTTTAAAAAATTTCTCTGATTAATTTCTTCACTTCGTCTCCAAAAGTCACGATCTTGGACTTTATCTTAATCACGAACTTTGCTTAATCTTCACTTCAAGGTTGTTCATGACTTAATCTTGATCACGAACCACTTGATCTACGCTTCAAGGGTCTTCACGACTTAATCTTGATCACGAACTTCGTTGTCGCTTGATCACGAACTTCACCGTCGCTTGATCACGAACTTCACCGTCGCTTGATCTTCACTTCATAAATCTTATATTCTTCTTGATCTCTGAAATGCTCTCAATTTTTGAATGCTTCCCAATCTTCGAATGCTTCCGAATGAATGAAAATAGCTTAGAGGAGCCCTTATTTATAATGCTAAGTGAGAGACTTTGATGAGAATGTAATATCTTTAAATTATCTCTAAATTATTTTAATTTATTTAGAGATAAATTATAATGACTCATTGAAAGTCTTTTGATTGATCGAACTTTGAGTCTTTGAATTTTGATTGGCCGAAGTTAAGTATTATTTCTAAATTATCTTAATTTATTTAGAGATAAATTAAATAATCTAATTTTATTTTTTATCTCTAAATTAATATAATTATTAGAGTAATTTAAGTGACCAATAATTAAATTTTGATTCATAAAAAATATGAAGATTATCTCCAAATTATTTTGATTTATTTAGAGATAAATTGAATGACCAATAACTAATTTTTTGATTGGTCAAAATATAAATATTATCTCTAAATCATTTTGATTTATTTGGAGATAAATTGGATGACCAAGAACTAATTTTTGATTGGTCCAATTTAAATATTATCTTCAAATTATCTCAAGAAATAAATATATACCAATAGGTAAATTGGTTCAACTATATGTCTTTAAAATAATATAACCAATAAATTAATCATTTTATAATTAATTACATGATTAAAATATTATTAAATTCACATGACGGCACGTAATTGGCTAATAATTTTTCTCCTTCTACACCTACACTTTCAAGACACCAGGAGATGGTTTTGACGTGCTTGGAATAGGTAGCTACTTAGGGAATTTAATCTTTAGGTATTTTGGATAAAACTAAAATGGTAGAAATGATCTCATATGTTTGAAATGACTTTTAATTGGATTGATTCGAAATCTAGACACCAATAAACTCAAAATTTTGAAAATTATAAACCTAAGTTTTTGAAGATTTTTTTTTATTTTTACTCGAAATAGGTATTTTAGATAAGAAAATTTATGTTTTAATTTATAAAAATATGTTAGAAACACTTTAATAGGTGCTAAGTTGTTAAAAAAAAAATGAAGAGAGTTCATAGGATTTGAAGTTTTGATTTGTAAGTAACAATAATATTTTAGACATTAAAGTATACCAAAATGTTTTTTAATATGGCGTATAACAACAATATTTTTTTTTCAACATAACGTGTAATAACTTTTTTTAATCATAACGTGTAACATATTTTTGTATATGACGTGTAACAATAATTTTTTTAACATGGCGTGTGATATATTTTTATACATAGCGTGTAACAACCTAACCATGGCATGTAACATGTTTTTTTGCATTACGTGTAACAATAGTATTTTTTTTCAATATAGCGTATAACAACTTAACCTTGACGTGTAACATGCTTTTATACATGGTGTATAATATGTTTTTATACATGGTGTGCAACATCATAGCATGTAATTTCATTAAAAGTAAGTTTGTCCAACTTGACCAAAAACAGTTAAAATTATAAAGATGCCTATTTTTAAAATTCTCATTTTTAAGGGTTATTTTTAAAAATGCTTCAAAAGAGAAACGCTTTCTCTGCATTTTGTATGTAGATGTAGATTGTCATAAGCCAGCTTTGTACTAGATTATGATTGGGTATAATTGTCTATAAGATTGAGTCTTTTGCACCTATAAGGGAAATATCCCTCTTTCAAACAATGTAATAGCTCATAGTGACACCTTCACAAATACTTATTAAGTCTTTAGGGGGAAAAACCTTTTAGGAAAAGAATGTCCTCATTTCAAGAGTTGTAATGGCTATTGGTAGAATACTTGTAAAATTTCATAAATTTTTTATAAGGGGTGAGCAGTCGGCGAATTGTTGGGTCGTCTCACTGGTAAAGGTATGTTTGCTGTGAGTCATTTAGGGCTACCCCTATGGCCCAACGATGGTGTGTCTTGGCCTCTTTGTAATTAATTTCATATTAATAAAATATTTTTCTTTTTTATGAATCGGTGGTTGCATATATGGCATTCAGTATATCTTTTGATTCTTAATGCAGGTTCTCTTACTCTAATTTGTTGATATTATTATTTTTGGATAAGATATAACCGAGTTGTAACTGACTTGCGTGAAAGTGTCCACTCAAGTGCTTTATAGACTATCGCATATTTAGGCGAAGAACCATCGTTCGTGACAGTTGGTATCAAAGCACAAGCGAGATGTGTTGATCTAAAGTGAAAAAATGGTGATCATGCAAAGTGCACGAGAGGATCATCAAATGATTGATGAGCTAGAAGCTGTAGTGGCCGTAGTGAAAGCTTATATGGTTCTGCAGGAACGAATAGATGAAATTGAGATAATCTAGTGGGAATTGTCTGAATTATTAACACCCTAACTGATGAGACCAGGGATACATTGAGCATTCTCCAAGGCAAGATTGGAGAACTGAAATCTCAAATAAATCTTTTGGTTATTGCTGCAAGTAATGCCAGTGGGAGCTCAAGAGATCGAGGGAAAAAGGTTAAAGTATCGAAACCCAAGCGATATGAATGGGTCCGAGATGCTAAGGAGTTGGAGAACTTCCTTTTTGATATGAAACAATAGTTTTGAGCTGTGCGCATGGAGTCAAAAGAGGACAAAGTGCCAATGGCTTCAATGTATATTGCTGGGGATGCAAAGTTGTGGTGATGTTCCAAATTCATCGATGGTGAGTGCCCTATCAACACTTGACTGACTTAAAGCAGGAATTGAAGAATTATTTTTTCACTGAAAATGTTGAGTATATGGCACGACAGAAGTTACGGGAGTTGTCATAAAAGGGATTAGTGCGAAAGTTTGTGAGAAATTTCTCTATTTTAATGCTAAATATCAGGGATATAACTGAAAAAGATAGACTATTTAGTTCCCTAAAGGTCTAAAACCATGGGCGAGAATGGAGTTACAGTGACAAAAGGTACAAGATGTGACTTAGGTAATGGTGGCTGCTAAGAGCCTTATTGATTATAATGAAAACCCCAACAGAAAAAGACCCTCCATCAAGGACTAGTAGTTCTAGCTCAAACAATGGGACAAAATTTTGGAAAGTAAGCAGAACCTTAAGTGAGGGAAGTGATAGAAAATCACTTCCTAAGGATTCACTACGACCAAGAACAAACAAGTCATTAAACTTCAAGCCATGGGCACCGATATCTTATTTTTTACGTAAGAAATCTTATTGAGTAGCTAACTATCATTATCGAGCAGCTCTCAATGCGATATGTACTGTTATTGTTGAGACACCCCTACCCCACACCACAATCAAAGAAGCTGAGGAAG